GGGCTTTCTGGCCCCTCCTTTTTTTTAATATCTAATATCTAATATTTCTGCTAGTGAGAGAACCTGTTGTTAAAATATTTCAATCCCACCACTGAATGCATGGGATTAAAATTTCTAAGGTAAATACACAAGATTCCTCCCAAAACATAAATAAGCCTATAGAGTGAAACATGGGATTATAAGTGAATTTATATATTGAAACATTAAATTAAAATTTCTGGTGTAAACATATAAGCACTCCCCAAAATATAAATAAGCCTATAGAGTGAAACATGGGATTATAAGTGAATTTATATATTGAAACATTAAATTAAAATTTCTGGTGTAAACATATAAGCATTCCCCAAAATATAAATAAGCCTATAGAGTGAAACATGGGATTATAAGTGAATTTATATTTTGAAACATTAAATTAAAATTTCTGGTGTAAACATATAAGCACTCCCCAAAACATAAACAAGTCTACAGAGTGAAATATAGGATTACATTTTATGGTTTAGATACATTAGTATTTTCAAATATATCATAGCTGCCCAATTATCTCAATATAAAATCAGTTAGTGTCCTGCAAGCTTATTGAGCAATCAAAATTTTAATTACCGTATTTGATGGCATATAAGACGCATCCCCATTTCAGCAGGCCAGATTCAGGAAAAAAAGTTTTTAGTGTATTTAAGCATATATTGGTGAAAGTAATCTAACAGCACATTACACAAGCAGAAAACACTTAAAACACAGTAAGAAAATGGGGATACAGTAGTTGGAATGCTGTACTGATTGTATGCTAGGATAGTGAGCGTTAGGAAGAAGATTAGCCTGCGGAAAATCTCAACTTCGCATATTAGACGCAGGGCGATTTTTTGAGCCAAAATTTTGGGAAATAAGTGCGTCCTATATGCCGTCAAATACGGTACATCAATTAATGTCATGAAAATAATCAACTATTGAAATTTATATTTCTGATTATTATGGTCTTAGATAATTCCAGCTATCGAAGTAATCAAAATACTGCCACTTTGATTCATCATTATCATTTGAAATTCCTGTTTATTGAGCTTAATCAATTAGTGTCACAAATCAACATTTTTCTGGTTGTAAATAATAAATTTTTGACTCACTTCGCACGAGAATGCTGTGTACAAAATAATGATTAATCTTACAAAATTACACCCGCAAGCGATAGTTTTATTGTCTTGAAATTTTTTCATGTTCTACAGTAATTCCTGTACACTGAATCCGAAAATGATATCAATTTTTCTCCATCATGTACAGATTTTTCATGAAACATCATAATTCAATACATAAAAGAAAAACCACAACATGTAGTTTTGAGACTAAAAGACATAGATTTCACAAAAAAAAATCAGAATGAAATTAAGTATTGTGAGAAATAGATTACTATGACACTTTCAAATTAAGTATTGTGAGAAATAGATTACTATGACACTTTCAGATTAAGTATTGTGAGAATTAGATTACTATGCAACAACTGAACATTCTCCAATATCTCTCAGATTCACCCAAGCATCAGTAAATTAGAAAACTTAGAGAATTTGATTTTTTTGGGGGGTGGGGGTGGGAAGGGAGTGGTGAGGATTCCACACACATATTGTTACAAACTTACTATACAGCCTCTAGTTTCATCATTAAAAAATTCACATAACTTGATTTTGTTTTAATGTGCTATGTTATGAGATTGTCAAAATTTGTTTGTGTGACTGTTTAACTCTTTCAGCAGGGGCTCGGTTTCT